AAAAAATGAAGCTTATAAACTTAAACAGTTCCTTAAAAAAGACGATTTTCGATGTGTTGTCAACGGATCGGCAGACGGGGAAGAATGCGATCAAAACACCGAAATAGAACGCGATATTTTTGGCGATGTCGATAAAATGTCTTCGAAAAGACTACTCACTCCGAAAGATAAATGTCTAAGAATCTTCCAGGAGGATTCCCGACCACAGACAAAACATTTTTGGCGGTTTAAAAGCAATTTTTCCATAGAGCACTTTTCAGCAGTTCAACGGCCGCCATCTTGGATTTAGCTAGAGCCGCGCATGCGTAGTCGTTTTTCCGCTCTGTCACACTTGTCTGCATTTAGTTGCATGTTATGCGCCTGCGACCAGTCTTCAACGACGGAGACGGAGATTTGAGCGTTACCTAGAAGGCCTCTTGGTACAGTTTCAGCGATAGTTGTGTCGTCCACATACTTCCATGCCAGGACATCCTCAACATCCACATTCAAGTTGTTGATCATCAGCCAAGGACAAAGTTTTGTTCCCTGAGGGACGCCGGCAGGCACTAGGCCCCATTCAGATAAACAGTCCGTTGACAGCTTGACACGTTGTTTACGATGGCTCAGGAAATCGATGACCCAATTAGCCACGCCCCCAGGGATATTCAGACCGAGGATCTTTTGGACTAGAATATTATGATCGATCAGATCGAAAGCTTTACGATAATCGAAGAACACAACTCTTACAGCTGTTCCGGTCCCATCAGTTGCACGACTCCAGTGATGAAGCATCGATAACAGCGAATAAAGAGTAGATGATTTCGGTATACCACCGTACTGGTTGGGGTCAATGATGCTAAGTACTGCTGGGCCAACATGGTTAGCAACGACGAATTCCTCAGCAATCTTGGAAATGGCTGGAGTGAGTGAGATGGGGCGCAGATGTTTGGAAGGATCGACCACTGGCTTCTGTTTTGGCAGGGGGATTACATCAGCAAGTTTCCACGAGGACGGTAGTAATCACGCATTAGCCAGTTGGGAAAGCTATCTGGTCCTGCCGCCTTAAGGGGATTGAGTTCTTAAGGGCACTCAAAACGGCGGACTCGGAGACGGTGAAGGAAGAGAGGTCCTCGAGGTGTCGCGATGTCTCGGCAAGAGGTTCAAACGACTCCATTGGCTTTAGAAAAGCAGCATTGATAGCGTTGGCAAGTTCAACTGCACTAGAAGTATCGTCCCAGCCCTCTATCTGTAATATGAATAGCAAACTCTCGGAGCCAGATGCTGGTACCATACCCGAGATAAGTTTAACCGCTGACCACCATTGACTGGGTTTCGTGTGTTTCAGATTGTTAACTCTAGACGCGTAGTATTTACTGCGTAACGATTTACGTTGGGGGTTGACTAAGTTCCGATAGTGACGAAAGCGCTCGGTGTCTCCTTTAGCAAAAGCGTCTTGACGGAGTTTAATGAGCGTTTTAAACTCAGCCGTCACCCAGTGAGGATCTTCGGAATGGATCTTACAAGAAATGGCACGAGGACTGGCTGAGTGAGATTACAAAGACAAGAGTCCTTGATGCAGACTTMAAACGAKAAATCGACAATGATAAAGTATTTACGTGCGAGAAACACTTCAATCCAGAGGATATAGAGATATGTAAGTATTTGTTTTAGCTAKAAGTTCAAACTTCAATTGGCAGCTTTGTTTACAAGTAGGGAATTGTTCTGATCGCGACCGCATGTTATATAGTAGCTGTTTTTATGTTAAACCACGTCTGTTTAATTCTAATTTCAGTCTACTCCGAAAAGATGATTAAAAAGAAGCCYAAGTTTGGTGCTCTACCGACCATAAACATGCCAAAAAGAAGCCACGAGAGCAATAAACCTTCTCCAAGACCAGCGCGATCGGTTGTCAAGAATGTCATRGATTTAAGCGCAAGGAACTCGAAGTATTACTTGAACTTTAAGGATTTATGCAAAAGAGTTGAAACACTGCAAACCCTGAATGAATGGTCAGTACAGAAGCTTGAAGATAGACTGATTTTGCGAAAAATCATGGCAAACGTCATCCTCCCAAAGTTTGAAATTGTGATCGACAGTCTGGGATTCACAGTCTCAGTGTTTGGTTGGTTGCTYCCTGAGGACCACGATTTGTACACAGCTAATATGCGTTCAGTTACCAATATAACTGTATCAGATCTAGTGAAATCTGTCCAGAGAATGATGATTTGTCCTGGTGTAAAGCCAACTGAGTTGTCCAYTGAAATCACGCACCATGTTGTACCTAAGGCCATTGATACCTTGAATACTGATGACACTGATACTGAGGCYATGAACAGCTTTCATTATACAGAATATTGGAGAACTCGTGGTTGTGCAGGTTTGATCGAGGAATGTGGACTGTACTGCGATTCCTGTTCTTCGTTTGTAAGCAAATGCAGTAAACAGAATGTCAAACAGAGCAAGTCAGCAGCTACACCAGCATCACTATTTGCCCCCATTTCCAAAACAGCCCCAGAAAGACTAAAATTGACACTGCAAATGCATCAGTTGAAATGTGCTGAGATTGATACAGAACGATGGATGTACGATGAATCAAATTATAATTGCTTTAACAATTACAATTTAAAGAAAACGATTTATGAAATTTTTTCGTTACAATCCTATTTCCTATTCGGCTGTGTTGATAAGCACGGCGAGTGACGGCGAAATAAATCCCAGTCTTAGCCACATTTATATCAAGTTTGGCATTGTGGCCTAGCGGGTTAAAGCACAGGCTTAATGATCGAGAGGTCGTGGTTCGAATCCCAAGTGATACAGTATTTTTTTTTGTTCTTTATTTATTATTATTTTTTATTATTATTTATTATTTTTTTCCAGCAATTCTTTTAAGAATCCTTACTCCGTAACGGTGAATTAAACAACTGAACGTTGGTTCAATTGAATCCCCGACCAACTATACGCACCGTTGCTTTTATTATTTGKCAGTTTCCGTAGCGGCTCAAAATAGTATTATCGATGTCTAACCACACAATGAACTATGTATCAAATATTACAATGTAATAGTACGGTAGCGAGCGAATATATTTTTTGAATTGTAGACGAACGTGGATAAATAAAACACACGTAAAATGAATTTATAATGTCGGATCGGCGAGTCTTCCTCATGCTTCCTCTGTGACRGAACAATACAACGAATCAAATTAGATTTACTTTACAAATAGAATTTTATGTAAACGACATTTGAATGCAGATTTTTTCGTTAAAATCTTATAGTTTTAACTTCGAATTCTAGACAAGCACGGGCGAGCGCCCATCACTTAAAAGACAAGTCTAGCCGTTCGTAAGTAACATTAGCACACGTGGCCTAATCGGTAGTGCCTTTGATTTCCAATCCAGCGGGCCCGGGTTCAGATCCCAGATGACCCATTTCTTTGATTTCTTTATTTGCCAAAAAATAAATCAATTCAATCAGATATAGCACAGGGAAACCAGTAAAGAAAAATTAGATATGATAAATAATAATTAAGTAGAATACATTAATATAATTAAATGAATAACTGCTGACAAAGACATCYCAMGCTCGAYTTTACAGGAAAGTGATCGAGCGAGTGACAGCCGTCCCCTCCCAATAACTCTACGATTGCTACGCAATCTCCGAGTTAAAAACTACTTGACAAAAGTGCAACAGGGGTGCGATATCACCCCATGATAATCCGTTTCTGTTTATCATTAGCTGCTAAGTCTCCATCTTCTTACGATGAACTGAGGAACAGTGGTATTCTTGTTCTACCAAGTCAAAGATCGCTGAGGGACTACAGGAACTACATCAGGCCTACAAGAGGGTTTCAAGAAAGTGTTATTGAAGAACTGAAGAGTCAGACAAATTCATATTTTGATGTACAAAGGTACATCACTCTGCTCTTTGATGAGATGAAGATTTTGTCAAATCTTGTTTTTGATAAGGTTACAGGAGAGCTGATTGGTTATGTTGACCTGGGTGATCCAGATGTGAATTTTGCAACTCTCAACAAAGCASATGAAATTGCCACTCATGCKTTGGTATTCTTAGTCCGGGGCATGTGTACTAACTTAAAGTTCAGCCTGGCCTACTTTTCCACTACTGGAATAACCTCATTCCAGCTGATGCCTCTATTCTGGGAAGCTATCTCTATTCTTGAAACAAACTGCAATCTATGGGTGATTGCAGCTACGTATGATGGTGCATCACCAAACCGCAGCTTCTATAGGATGCACAAGGCCCTTGATGTTGGAGCTCATAAAGATGTATGTTATCGCACAGTTAACCTTTATGCAACTCATAGATACATCTATGAAAGCTTTTTCTCTGATGCGCCTCATCTAATAAAGACCACTAGAAACTGCTTGTATCACTCAGGATCTGGATCATGTACACGGTATGTGAGACTGGGGCGAGCGATGAACGAGTGAAGACGTGTGCTTTGGTGCTCTCCCGCGAAAATTTTGAATTTTTTGACATCTATACTTGTGAATGGCCGAACTGATTACGCAAAAGAAACCAAAAAGAAGAATAAGGTCTTCTACATCATCTACATCTTCTGAAATAAACTCGATCTCCTCTCCTGAACAGAAAAAAGCAAAGAACGAGGACCAAATCATGACAGCTTTAAACATGGCCGAAGACTTGGGCGGAAAACTAGATAATATTCTATTAAAGATGTCCAATTAGATGAAATTTGTTTGTCAGTGAAAAACATTGAGAACTCAATCACTAAACTTGAAGAGAGAACAAAATCCTTGGAAGACTTTAAAGAGATCTTGACAAAAGAGGTCAAAAAAGAACTTAAAGATGACCTGAACAAGGGAGACAAGTTATACGAAGATCGAGCCAAAGCCATGGAGGATGAGTTAAAGAAAGCGAAAAATTCCTTTTCGACACTTCAAAAAAAGTATGAGGATCTAAAGGAGAAATCAAAACAACATGAAAGCAATCTTGCTGATCTTCACACAAAAGATCTATACCTAGAGGATTATTCCCGAAGGGAGAATATAATCTTTCTGAACATTGACGAAGACCCAATGGAAAGTACAGAGACCAAATTACGATCCTTTCTTGAAGAGGTGCTGGAATACAGCAAACATGACACTGTAGAAATTCAGAGAGTCCATAGACTCCAACGCAAAGACAGGACAAAACCAAGACCCATAATAGCGCATTTCCTTAGGTACAAAGACTGCGAAGAAATTCTCTCCCTTGGAAAAAACCTTAGAGGAACAGATTTCAGCATGTTTACAGACTTGCCACACGAAATAGTCCAGAGAAGAAAAGCATTGATGCCAACTTATAAGAAAGCAAAGCAGAACAAAATACCCGTGGCATTCAGCAAGGCCCAACCGGACAAACTATTCGTTTGAGGAAGAGAATGGACAATTGACCAAGAACTTGAACTTTACTGAGGTATTTATCTACAATTCAAACTAAGTAGCCTTTTGGTTTAGTCTATCTCATCAAGCTAAAGTTAATATTGTTATTATTATTATAGAGAAGGCCACGGCCAATTGCTTAGAATCTAGTGATCTCTGATATATTTAATTAAATCAAACCTAGCAGCCTGTAGTTTAAACAAGTTTTTTGTTTCATTAAGCTAAAGCTATTGATATCATTGTTGTAGAAAAGGCTATGGACATTTGCTTAAAATTTAGGGTCTCTGTTATTGTTAATCAAATCAAACTTAACAGTCTTTAGTTTAAACAAATTTTGTCTCTCTCTTCTACTTTTATCTTCGTCAATAATATTGAGCAACGTAACACGGCAAAAAACGATATTATGTAATCGGACAGTTCCCTGTACTTTGACCTCTTAAGCGGTCAAGCCGTGAGGCCACGGTAGTTGGTCCCGGCGGTTCTGGTCAGGATCGGAAGCCAGATGACAGAAAGCATCCTAAATTCTGTGTGGTTACATCCAATAAGAATTCAGCGCTGAAACAAGTATCTTCATGATTGGTTCTATAGAGTTGAAGGGGTGTCATGTTCGATATCATAAGACTATACTTTCTGAACAATGCGTTATCACTTTGCGTATAGCTAGAGGTACGTTTATACTTGTTTTACATGCGTTATATATATATATCTACTCTATTCTTCTTATTGTTGTTCTACGGAAATTTTGATGGAGAATTTTACCCAGTCGATAACTTCTTCTGAGGAGAGAACTGATAAGGTTAGTCTTATTTCATTTTAAAATTACATCACAACCTTGCAGTTTGAGTTCTTAGCCTACTCAGTTGAGGCAACATATTACAAGGAATGACAACATAATATAGATGCACTTTTGTATAACAAAGGATATTACAAGGAATGACAACTAAATATAGATGCAGAGTTGAAACACATTATGGCGCAAAAGAAAGATATTACATGTAAACACTGACGTAATTCTGAGCATAGCAAACTCTTTACGTTGCTGTGTTCCACCACTCCCTTAAATATGTCACTGATATATTTCTTTGTAAGTCTCTAGATATTTTTTGGAATAAAGCGGCTCAAAACATGGTTAAAACATTCTCCTCCCAGTGCTATAGTATTTCCCGCGAAAAAACAGATCGCGAAGAAATTGGCAGAGCGCCGATCAATGTCATACCCAATCATATCATACTTTTGATGCGCATGCTCCACTAACCAAGCGCATGGGAGGAGTATTATCACAAATTATAACTTGTTTTGTGTAAATTAGCGATTCACTGTGGAAGAAGGAAACACGTACATTCTCGACGAGGATGGTTCAAGAAGCGTTTTCGGTGATGTTGCTCTCAAACTAAAAGGAGAACTGAGGTGCAAGGCTGGTAAAGAAAAACATGGGTATTGGGTGGCCGCTTGCACCGTGAAGACGCGTGGCAAGCTTGTGACGAAGTAAGTTTAAGTAATAAAATTATAAGTTAAATATAAGAACTTAATAATCACATCAACATATATGAAAACGTGCAAGTAGCCAGCTTTTGTACAAGGCTTCCCTTTTACTATGATTCGCTGGCAAATGGGGAGAAGGGGGGGAGGGGACTCCCTTATAAAAGGTGGTAGTTATGCTCGACGGACTGTTGGGGTAAAATTAAACCCTCGCGAACCTMTTACGGTCCCTAGCTGAAATAGATTTTATTAAAAACTGTTAAATGTGGTTATACCTTTAGGGTTCTGGAATCAGTAAAACTCAATGAATTTACCAAATCCCCTCCCCCACCCCTCCCTCCTCCCCGTGTACTATAGCTACTTCAGTTCAGATTAACAAAGTTACCTAAAATTTGCTTTTTTACTCATAAGAAGACTAATTAAACATTATTATATACACCTTTAGGGATGTTGTGATCTCAGCAACTGCATTTGACTCCAGGACAAAATTTGTGCAGGAGCTGAGGGACAAGATTGGCTGTGGGCTGCTCAATCTTGGGGGAAGTGCGACGGCAAGCACTCTTNGAAAGGAAGATCCTGTCCTGACCAGTGCTTCGCTCTACGCCAGCTCATCGAAAAATGCCTTGAATTCCAGCTCCCAGTCAAGATAAACTTCATTGACTTCAAGGCAGCCTTTGACAGTGTACAGAGAGACTCGCTCTGGAAGATAGTAGAGTCCTATGGGCTCCCAAGGAAGATCATTAACATCATGAAGAATACCTACGATGGCTCAGAATGCTGCGTGGAAGTGGAGGGTGAAATGACAGACTGGTTTGAAGTGACAACAGGAGTCAGGCAGGGCTGTGTATGGTCCCCCTTGTTGTTTGGCATCCTAATCGACTGGGTCCTCAAGAACGCCCTGGATAAGAATGACCTAGGGATGATACTGGAGAGGCGAAGAAGCTCGCGTTACCAACAGCGACGATTATCTGATCTCGACTTTGCGAACGACATAGCTCTGATTGACGAAACAGAAGAAAGACTGCAATATGCAACATCAAAGGTGGAAGAACAAGGAACGAAAGTTGGACTCTGCGTCAATTCGAAGAAAACCAAAATCATGAGCGTGGAAAGAGAAAGAACCGACATCACTATCACTATGAGTAACCAAGGTGCACTCGAGAACGTCGATAAATTCGTCTACTTAGGAAGTACAATGACCCACAATGGTGATCTCTCCCCGGAGCTTGACAACCGTATCGGGAAAGCTGCGAGTGCTTTCAACACACTCATGCCCGTTATGCGACACAAGTCTATCAAACTGACAACGAAGTTGTCAATTTACCAGGCTGTAGTGATCTCTACCCTATTGTACAGCGCCGAAACCTGGGACACTACCGCTCAGGAAGAGAAGCGTCTTGCAGCTTTCCACACTAGATGTCTGAGAAGAATCCTTGGGGTGTCCTGGCGTGATCACGTCTCAAACGCTGAAATATTTCAGCGAASTGGTRAGACGTCGCTTATRAACATCCTSCGACAAAAGCGCTTGACTTGGCTCGGTCATGTCTSACGCATGGCCGACACACGCTTGCCCCGTCGCCTACTGCTCTGGGAGCCACGAGGACGGCAGCAGATTGATTGATTGATTGTAGACATCCAAGAAAAAAAATCAAGAACATTTTGGTGCAATCTCCAAAAAGAAATTTTTCAAGCTCTTGGTGATAAACCAGTAAGGCCTATTCTCGATGCTGAATTATTTTTATTCTTGTATGTTATTATGTTATATATTATCTATGCACAGCTCCCATCCACATCCATACTGGTGCATAAATTTAAATCAGTATTTAATTATGGGTCCTCAGGCTAATCGTTGCTTAATAAATAGCAGGTTTTGACATGGCTGAATCCCATTGTAACAGCTGCAGTAAGAGGTAACAGAGTGCCAGCCATTGGCGTAACAGTGCAAGCAATGGCTGGATTTACCAGCATCAGCCATGCTGTAAGTTAAGTCCTTTATTCAGTCAAGTACATTATATAACACACACAATATCAAAACCAGGTGGAGTATTGGACAATTATGTAAACCCAGATGCCCTCAGCAAGATTCCCGACCCGTTATTAGTAGAATATAGTTGTCATTCATTTATTTTTGATTTTTTTTAAGTCAACAAAGGAGGAGATACCTAAAGTGGTGGATGTCAGTGGGACGCACTCGATGCTACGTGCCTATAAGGCCCCTGAAAAGTTTAAAAAGGCCAAAGGGTATAAAATTCCCAAGGAAAAGCTGAAACCAAAGCTGTTGAGGAAAATTGAAAATGGTAAAACTGTAATTATCATGATATATCATTCACTCTTAGTTAAAATCCCTAGTATATAAAATTTTAAAGGCATTGTTAATTGAAAAGCATCCGGGAAGAGTCGATTTGGGTACATATGGATTTATGAATGGCAATAATTCTCCCATGAGAGGCCAGAATACTCTCATTTCCATAACTTAATATGGTTGATAATAGTTAATGCAGTATCTTTTAGCAGATACGTGTCTTATCTTTTCTCAAAAATTAATAAGGAACTGTACTTAGCAAACT